CCCCCCGGCTGGGGGCCCCTCCCGCCGCGGCCTCCAGGGCTCTTGCTGGCCAGCCCAGCCTGGGAGCCACCTGGGAGCGCACAAAGGTTCTCGCGCCGCCGCGTTCACAGGCTGCTCACAAGACTCTTCGGGGACAGAGACTGATTAGAAACCTGTAGTCTGACACGATGTGTGCAATAAATATTAGATAACAACAACAGCAGTAATCATAATTTTGCCTGCCTCTCCCGGGCTGTCGAAGGGAAGTGTCAAAAGCACAATTATAAACTAACCGGTGAAAAGGCGACATCCGGCTGCTGTAAAACAGCCTCTTTGGGCTCATTACTGGGGCGTGTGCCCGAGGTCGGGAAGCGCTCCCCACACCCTGCTGGGTCAGGCAGCCAGTCCCAGCCGCTCTCCTAGCAGCAGGTGCCTGAGGCCCTGGTGCCGGGAGAGAAACAGACCGCGGGCGGGTGCGTCTCATCACTCAGGTATCAACGGGCATTTCTTGGGCTCCTACCACGTGCCCGGTGCTGGCCCTGGCGGCTCGGTGCCTGTCTCTGCCCTGCGGGTCAGTGTGTTGTGGGCAGGTGGCAGCGACACTCCTGCAGCTCAGCTCGCAGGCTGTGGGCAGCAGTCACAGGGAGGTCCCTGCCCAAAAGTGGGACCTCGGAAATCGGGAACGCACAGGGGAACCCCGACAGGCCATGCTGCCACACTCCCCATTTTCAAAGTATGCCTCAAACGCCTCCTATAGGGTGGGGCTGTGTGAGGCCCTGAGGGTCCCATGTCTGTGGACAAGAAGAGCTGACCCTGAGCAGTTTGTGAGCGCGAAGGTGTTCAGGGCAGGGCCCCCTAAGGGGAGGCTTCTCAGAGGGGCGGAGTGAGCTGAGACCCGAGGACAAGGAGAGGGACAGCAGGACTGCACCCTGCAGAGCAGCCGCGTGGGGTCCGGTGTCACACGTGAGGACCTCCTGGAGCTCTGGACATGTGTGCACAGGATCGGGGGCTGCTGAAGCTGGGTGGGTTCAGCCTGGGAACCTACCGGGGTGCTCTCGCTCTCTCTCTCGCTTGCTTTCTGTCTGTCTTGCTCACGGAAGAAGCAGACTTTTTAAAAGACGTGCGAGGAGGGCGTTGCTGAGAACCGTGGGGAGGATTCCCAGAGCATTCAGCCAGTGCCGGCACCTGGCAGCAGACTCCGGGGACCCTACAAGGAAACCAGCCTCCTAGTGCTGGGGACACCTGGGGAGACAGGGCTCATCCTCTGCCTCCTCCCAGAATAAGCCCAAGACCTCACCCCCATGGGTTTCTCCACATGCCAAGGGCCGATGGGAACCGGGCAAGTCAGACAGAGCCGGCCTGGTGGTCAGCCCTCGCAGGCCCCTGGGGCTCACGTTGGCGGGCAGGGCCGGGCAGCCCCTGGGGGAGGGAGCCCAGGGAGAGGGTGAAGTGGGATTCCCCGTGCTGGGGTGAGGGTCCCAGCTCTGTCACACCCCAGGTCTCTGTTTCCCTCACTGCCGCCTTGTTTAAGTCTAACCCCTGAAAAGGATGTTGACAAACGCCTGTCGCAGGAAGCCACTCGGCCATCAGGCTGTGACTGCAATGTCGCATTCCAGGGCGCGGGGTGGCTTCCGTGGGGCGGGTGCGGGAATAGAAGCGGTGTGGCTCCCACGGGCGAGCTCTGCACACGCCCAGGAGGGGTTGTGAGAACCGCCGAGAACACAGAGCTGGCCCGGTTGGGAGGAGAGGTCGGGCAGGTCGCTGTCTGTCTGTCCAGCCGCTAGGCCTCTGGGGACCACACCGGGCTTTCCACCAGAGGGCCTCCCTTCCCCGTCCCTGGCATTGGGGGTACATGCAGGACCCGCCCACAGTGACTGGTCAGGAATGGACCAATGAGAATTGCCCCGGGGCCTGGTCAAACTCTGGGCCAAAGCTTCTCCTCCCTGGGGATCCTCAATTGGCTGGCTGGGGCCCTGGCCTACTGCCGCCTCCTGCCACTCTGGGAGAGCCCTGAGGATGACAGCAGAGAGGACAGAAGTGCCCGGTGCCGGCAGGCTGCTGAGGCCCTGGACCAGCCAGCTGGAGGCCTGCAGCCCGTCCTGGGCCGAACGAGGTGAGAGCCGCCCGGCTGTGCCGACGTTAACTGGGTTTCTGTCGCTCGTGACCAGAGCCCTGACTGACACAGAGGGTTTCTGACCCAGAGGTGGAGAGGGGCCTTGAGCTTCCGTGGGGGTTTGGATCGATGGCTAGGGAGGGCGAGGGTGTTAGGGGACGGTAAGAGAGGACCCAGAGGCGAGTGGACGTGGCCATGTTTCTTCTCCCACATCCACACGTTCCTCTGCCCCTTCCTCAAAGAATCCCAAATTCCCTGCCACACATTTAGCTGGGATTGACCCCACAGGCAGCTTCAGGGCCGAGCCCAGGGTCGCCTGGCCACTGGGCACTTCCCGCCCCCACTGCACGGTGAGAGGGTTGTTACTGAAGAAGTGCATGACCGATTCAGATTCGGCAGTAGGCCAGTGAGGTCCCATTCTTGGGCTTCATTTAATTTCTGGTGCTCTCTCCCACTGGACACAAATGAGGAGGAAGCCGTGGAGGCCTCTGGCAGCCATGTCATGGAGAGGGCCCAATGAGAATGGAGCCTGTTCCAAGACAGATTCAATAAATGGCAGGAATGGGTCACATTGTTGAAATCCTGGATCAAGCCACACCTGAAGGAGGAGCTGTCCCTCAACTGTTCAGCTCTGTGAGCCAATAGCTCCCTTTTGGGCTTAGAAAGTTTGCCTTTGCTTTCTGCCATGTGTAGAAGAACCCTGTCTGCCCTCAAACTGGATTCAAGGTGAGGCGCCCTCTCCTGACCCTCCACCCCTCGGAGGCCTGCGCCTGCTCACCCTCGCGCAGCACTCCCCAGTCCGCAGCTTGGTCTCTGGGAGAGTCTCACATTCTCAGGCCACCAGAATGCGGGGGGCTTCCCTGGGGCCTTGGAGCCGAGATTCCTGAAGGGGCCAAGGGCTGATGGCAGCCGTGTGGGCTGGAGAGAGCCTGCCCCCAGACACCAGAGGAGATAACTCACCCTGGGCCCTCCTCCACCCTTCCCCGGCCCACCCTGGGCAAGGACAGCCATCAATCCCATTATCGGGCCCTTATTTCATCCTTTATCCAGCCGTCGCAGCTGTCACTCCGCATCCTTAGCGCAGAGTTATGAGAGATTGAGCGCTCGGCCTGGCCTGGCTGAAGGATTCATGGGTCCGAGGCTGGCCGTTCATCAGGGAGAAATCTCAGTGGCTTTGGGGACGGGGTGGGATACGATTGCCTGACCCTGGGGGAGGGGGCTCGGCTACCAGCAAAGACAAAGTCACCGCGGTGACCACTCCTGGGCAGACAGCTCCAGGCCTCCAGGCCGCCCGGGAAGATCGGCCCCAGACAGCCGGGTGCCCCTGGGCAAGACAAGCAGCTTGCTCGGCCTCTGCAGGACTCTCCTACCAGGGGAGCCCTGGGGGCGAGGAGCCCCACGCGCCTTTTAAAACGTGTGTCAGACCAGTCTCCTCCCTGCTTAAGACCCCAGACGGCGACCCGTTCCAGTGCGGAGACCGCAACTCCCGACCCCAGTCTGCAAAGCCTTCTTTCAGCTGGAGCTCCACTGGCTGACCACACTGCATCCTGCCCTCCTCCGCACTCCAGCCTCTGCCAGCTCTGCCGCCCGGAGTGCACTCCTGCCTCAGGGCCTTCGCACTCACTTCCCTCTCCAGCCAGAGGAACAGCCCCCAGGGTCCGCAGGGCTGGGCGCCTCCCCACGTTCAGGCTGACTCAGGCGGGCTGCAGCTCGAGAGCCCTTCCCTGACCCCGCTGGTCTCCCCGCCACGGGCCCTGCTTCGTTCTCTCTGGAAAGCAATGGCCAAAGTTGTCCCGTTCAGGCCGGCCAGCGGTGTGGGGTGATGCAGCTGGATCCCAAAGCTGACCGCGTGGTTAGCCCCAGACCTGGCTTTGAAAAACAAACCAGGTGTGTGTGCACGTGTGAATCCAGAAAGGATGAAGGGACGGTTGGAGGAGAAGGGACCATGACGTGACACCACCCAGGGGGCACTCGCTCGCTTTCTGTCTGTCTCCAGGGAGCACAGGCGCCCTCTAGGAACTTAAAACAGGTCCCTGTCCCTCTCCCTTTACTTAAAGAGAAGCCCGCTAGGACTCCAGTCCTGAGGCAGCTTCTTCTCGGTTCTGGGCCCCCAGTCAGTGTTTGGAGGGATGCTGCATCGCAGGCGCTCCGTGATGTGCACTAAATGTATGCGTTTCCCTCCAGCTGCACCCTCCAGAGCCAGGCCCCAGACTAGGCAGGCCAAACAGGGGACAGCTACCCCAGACCATGGCCTCCAGTCCAGGGTGCTGGCCTGCCAGGTGACTGCTCTGGGAGACAGGAGAAGGAAGCTGCTCGTTCTGGGAGGAATGGCTGCTTTGTGTCGCCAGGAGGTTGCCATGGGAACGCCTCACTGTGCAGCAAAGACCCCCCTTGAAGTTGGAGATGCAGAGATAGGAGGAGACACGCAAGTCGATGAAGAATTGACCAATAGCCGGGGAGCCCTCGCGTGAGCAGGGGAAGGACGTTCGGGTCACCCCCGCCTGCTCTTAGCTGTCTCTTGTGACTCTCCTCTGTCCCTTATGCTGTGGCTTGCTCATCCCGGCCTGCTCCCAGGAACACTGGCCCAGGGCAGGAGAGAGAAAAGCTGGAGGAGGCCAGGGTCACACCGTGGCCACCCAGGCGGCCGGGCTCCCGGGCAGGAATCCTTGCTGGCGGATGGGGTACCGTGGGGACTGCAGCGCAGTCAGGCTGAGACAGGCTAGTGAGCTCAGCCCTTACACCACCCCAGAGGGAACCAGCTCAGAGAGGTTACAAGAAGTTTCTGCAACTTCCGCCCCTCGAGGGTGGTTCTGGGACTTCAACCCAGGGAGTCCAAATCCGGAGCTCCAGCTCCCCGAGGCGCCACCCTCCGGCCTGTGTAGACATGGACGAATGCAGTGCTTCCCCATCACCCAGTGGCAGCCATGGGCGCGTTCTGTTACGTGTGCCTTTGTCATTCCACACCGGGAAACGGGTCTCAGGAGCAGAGGTGCTGACCCCAGGGGTAGAGCTGGGCCTGGGCACCTGCCTGGAGTCCAGGTCCGCACCCCAACGCCGCCAGGCCTGGGCGCACAAGACCCAGAGGCCCTTAGGCCTGACCGCTCTGGCCGCTCCCGGCTTTCAGGGAAGACCCCACCAAGCCCAGAGCCTGGGGAGGTCACCAAGGATGCCCAACAACCAAGACAAATGTCCCTCGTGGGGTGAAGGTGCCCTGAACCTACGGCCTAGAGGGAGTTCGGCACCTCCCCCGACAGCATCGGGCCAGGCAGGACCTCAGCCCCCTCACGCAGCAGCGCCTTCTTGGAGCCTGGCGAGCCTGCGCCGCACTCCTAGGGAGCCGGAGCATGTCCGGGCAAGTGTCACCTGGGGCCTGGGCTGTCACAGCAGTGAGCTCACTTTGGGAAACCGTGTGGACGGAGTCAGATCAGTCACGAGATCTCTTCACCCTCCAACTGGATTGTCTTAACTGCACTTCAAGTGGAGATTACATTATAAAACTTTCATTTAAATGCAGTTTTCTAGGAATATGCCAACTGCAGGCGGTGACTTAGAGCTGAGCAGCTATGCCAAGGCCCAAGATGGCCCAGCTGGGCTGCCCCTCGCTGTGGGGACACACGCTAGGGCCCTCCCTGCCTCCTTCTCTGCCTCCTGGCCCCGCCTTCAGCCACCCAGGGAACAGGTCACAGAGCTTGGGGGCAGGACAGGGTGAAGCAGGGGTGGGTTTTCATCACTCTCCCAGGCCGCCTTCAGGATCCTCCCCCAAAGAAGCCTCTCGCTCAGGCGTCTTGGCAAGAGGAGGCAGGCGGCACCCTGACAGGGACCGGACGGCCAGACACGCGCTTCCTTCTAGAGAGCAGGGGCTTTTCTGGGGAAATCCTCCAGCTTCTCTCGGCCCCCCTCGCCCCCAAGCATCCAGGGGTCCAAAGCACTGACAGCTAGCTGGGCTAGCTCCCTGGTGAGTCACTGCGCAGGAGAAGCTGGGTCTGCATAGACACACACAGCCTTGGAGTCCAGCTACATGTGCACCCGCCACGTACCCCTGATCCCTCCCCCAGCAGGGAGTGCTGGGACAGTGGGGGTCACAGCGTGAGACTGTGATGAGGTACTTCTCTCTCACTGTCCTCTCTGTGCCTCTCACTCTTGTGAGAGAAATCATCTCATTGTCATGTTTGAATCTAGCAACCTAACCTCTCTGTTTGCATTAGTCAGCTGTTGCTGCAACAAAGTCGTGTGTGCTGTGTAACAAACAAGCCTAAACTCTCAGTGACTGAAAACCACAAACTTCTTCTAGTCCACAGCTGAGGGTTGGCTGAGGTGGTTCTGCTGGGGGCCACAGACTGGGCTCAGCTCTGTTCCATATGTTTCATATTCGGGGACTAGAAGCTTCTCACGTGGCGTGCAAAGTCTAACTCTTTGTGGTCAACAGACAGTGAAGAGCGAGGCATTGGCAGAGCGTGCAGCTATTTCACCCCATTCCCGGAGGCAGTGGCTCCAAACTGGGCGGAGCGAGCACAGGCGCCACTGTCTTCAAATCCGCCTTCCTTTGGCAAGTTACCCTCCTGCACTGGAGCAGCCGCGGTGGGACTGACCCCACTCCCCGTCCTAGGGGTGGGCCCAGTCATCTCATACGCCACCTTGCAGTCACAGGCATTGCTTAGAGGCAGGCATGTAACCTAATCCAAGCTGGTGGGAGACTAAATCCCAGGAATGAATCCAGAAACTCCCTCTCTTTCTCGCTGGAAAGAACAATGAACAGAGAGTTTGAACTTCTGGCAACACGTGACTCCAAGGAGAAGCAACCGTAGCATAAAGAAGTGGAAAACAGCAGAGCGAGTCAGAAAGAAATCAGATCCTTGGGTGATGTAATGCAGCTTGATCAAGCATTACCTGAAGCCTGGCCTATCACTTGGCTTTTCATTTATAGGAACATACACATTTCCTTTCTCATTTAAACTACTTTGAGTTTTGTCCTCGATCATTTGCAAACTAAAGATTCCTAAGAGATTGGGGTTAGCAGGTGCCGTGGAGCTAGCTTACGGCAGCTAGGTCTCACATGACCGACTGTGCAGTCTGGACCTGGCAGCTTGAAAAATCGTGCTGGGCACTCGTGGTGCATGTCAAAAATCCCAGGAGGAGAATGGAGGAGAAGGGATTGTGGCGTGGCCATCCCCCTGAGGGGGCGATGTCTCACCCTTTCTGTCTCTCTCTGGCAGTGCACGCACTCTAAACTGAAATAAAGAATACGGAGAGATCGTACAGAGGAGACAGAGGGCGAGGACAACGGAGGCCCCGAGCTCTTCTCATCCCCCACACACCGCACAGCCCAGACAGGGGGCCTGAGACGCTGCTAGGACTGGAGTTGCAGCCACAGCCCCCGGCACCTTGCTGCACCCACTGTAGGGCTCAGAGCCCAGACAACCTCCCTGTCGCCGAGGCCTGCTCACCTCTGGATGCAGCCTTCGATTTCTACTGGCCCCAAAGCCCGAGAGTCTGGAGCTGCCGCCTCATACATCAAAGATGCTTTTGCACAGAGGGGAGAATGTAGGTCATTTTTCAATGCGTGCGGCTCTCTCCCAGCAACCTGGAATGCCAGAGGTGGGGCCAGGACGGCAGGGCTCTGTAAGTAGGGGCTGGGCTCAGAAGGAGCTGCCTGCATGCCTGTCCTCCTGCCCTCCCTCCCTCCCGCCATCCCTCCTCCCACCATCCCTCCTCCCTCCCTCTTCCTCTCGTCCTCCCGCCCTAGGCTGGACGTCAGCAGGGCTGGGCTGGTCTCTGTGGCGTCTCTGTGGGCTGAGCGCCGCCCCAGCCTACACACTGAGATGAGAAAGAACTCGCTTGTTGCCGCTCTCGTTCCGAAGTCTTGTTTGTGGAAGAAAGGAAGAAGGGCGAGTCCATTAAGTTATTTATGCCTAATGCCCCGCACAGGCCGCGGGGCAGCTGGGCGGTGCATTGGAGCTGAGAGGAAAACAAGAAAAGGAGCACTTGTGAGAGGGGCCGAGTTGCCCGCAGAGCTCCGGCTTCTGGGGCGCGTGCTCCTTTCTCTCCTGGGCAGCCCCTCCAGCTCTTTCTGCCATTGAAACCCCTCACCCCTGCACTGCACCCCATACCCCTCCCCCAGTGCTAGTCCGCCTCACTCCCACCCTCCTGCAAATCCCGGGCCCGGGGTGCAGCTCCACAGCCTGGACACACAGTGCCCCCCTCAGGCCACACAGGGCCCTGGCTGTGGCTACTTGTGTGACAAAGACAGACAGCCGTGGGGGCTGGGGGACACAGGCAAACCTCCTGTGACCCCGATTCCACATTCGAACCCTGTCTCCAGAGGCGAGCATGAGGGAAATGTGCAAACCGCAATGGTAATCGCCCGCAGGGGGAGAGCATGCTGTCTGGAGGAGCCGCTGCAGGCCGGCCCTGCGCCCAGAGCCGCCCAGAGCCGCGGAGGGTCAGGGTTCGGGGGAGGGGACGCACGCAGCACCGCACGTCTGCATCCGTGTCACTGCGACTCCGTCTCCTTACTGGGCAAGATGCAGCCCCTCCCCAGGGCGTCCCCAGGTGGAAACTGGGCAGTGGTCAGATCAGCTGGACCACGGGAAACGGAAGTCCTGGAGTTTTAAAATACCTGCAGGACCGGCTGGCGTCTTCCTAACTGAACCCCGGGGTTTGGGGTTTGTGGAGGGCAGGGTCTGTGCTGCAGCGCAGGCAAGGTTCCGCCCTGGGCGTTGGGATCTCCGCCCGGCTGCACCTGTAGTTTGGGTGCCTAGGAGGCCACGCGCCTTCTGCTCCCGCGCCACACGCTGGCACTCCGCAGAGCCACAGCGCCCACCGGGCTCTGTCCCTCCTGCCATGCTGGCCGCTGGGAATCAGTCAGTGGCTGCCTCGGCACTTCCTGGGCGTGGCAATGCCGTGGAGCACCTGCCCATGGCAAGGATGAAGGGGCCAGGAAGAGAGGCTGGCAGAGCAGCAAATGCCGGGAAGGGAGCGGGGAGACCCAGCACCCACACCGCCCTGTTGACCGCGGGCAACCGTGGCAGCCGGGTGGCTCATGGCCCTAAAGAGCTGCCCAGGAAGGACAGAGGTGAATCCAAGTCTTCTTTATGAACTCAGTCTAGACGGCAGAGGGGCTGCAGGGAGGCCTCCAGGCCCTGCCCCGACCTGTCATGTCGCCCTGTCACCTCGCTGTCACCGTTGTCCCAGCCTGCTCTGAGATGACCTCCTCCCATGTCCGTGTGCTTAGGAGGGTGAGGACTGGGTCAGTGTGGTGTCCCCAGAGCATGGCCCCAGACCCGGGGTGCCCGGGATGCCCCCGAGACCTCAGAGTACAGCAGGTGACCCTTGGAACTGCCTCTCCTGAGGGTGGCAGGGGCTCCTGGAAACCAGCTGCTACAAATTCGGGATTCTGGGAGCTCGAAATAGCGAGGGTGAGGGTGTTCATGCCACGGCGTCAGCACCTGCACCAGGGCGTCCCCGCCCACTCCCACCCAGAACCCCCAGGCGCTGGTTCATCTCGCTAATCTGGGCTAATCTTGACCTCCAAATCTCCCAACACAGGGAAGGCTGGAATGCTTCCCGCAGCTGGTCCCCCCTGCTGCTTTCTTCCGAGCAGGAGTGCCCTGGGTTTCACCCCGAGCCCTGGCCCCTCGGCCCCTCAGGCCTGGCCCTTCTGGAGACAGGGTCAGAGAGCTGGTTCCCTGTCCCCGCCCCGCCTTCCTCTCAGCGCCACCTGTTCGCTGGGGCTCTGGCCCCAGGTGGAGTATAAACACCCCCGGTGATGGATGTCCCTGCGAGCAGTGACGCACGGGCCCTCTGCCCCTCCACCACCTGTTCCGTCCCAGCTGGATGGAGGGAGCGCGAGGAGGGGCTCCCATCTGAGTCAGAACCATCCATCCTAGGTAATGAGCTGCTGGAGAAGCCGACCTGCCGGAGAGGAGCAGAGGGTCCCACCCCCACCTGCTGCGTTCCTGACTCTGCCCCAGGCTCGTCTCCCGAGGCTGCTGGGAGAGCCAGAACCAAGGAGGCCGGGAAACCATCTGCCAGGGTTCGAGGTCTCTGTGCAGATCAAAAACTGAGATGTTCCTTTTCTGACTGCTGCTGTCAGGGCTGCAGTGCCCACGGCTCCTCTCCCGGGCGGCAGCTCTGGGCCTCCTCGCCTCTTCTCACCACGGGGTGGGAAGCGTGTCTGGCGGACACCTGTCTCACCTGTCCTGCCTCATTCCCTTCTTAGCTGACATTGTTCAGGTTGACTCTTGGAGGGCCCTTGTCCTGTGACCCCGATTTGTTTTGAAGTAGTGGGAATACAGTCCTGTTAGAGCCAATGACACACAAAGGCAGGTAAGAGATTCTTTTGCTCCCATGAGACTCATGAAGAGAGATGCTTTATCTCTGGGCATTGCAGCATCTGAACACGACTCCTGGAGCTGCAGCAGCCATGTTGTGGCCATGAGGGGTGGCAGCCTGAGGGTAGAGGGGTGGCAGCCTGAGGGTAGAACTGGCAAACCCAACAAGAGCAAAGCAGAGGCAGATAAAGAACCACAGTCTTGGGACCAGCAGGTGGCGTAATGGCTACATCACTGGACTCCCATGTAGTCAACTGTTGTTCGAGTCCCGGACCTGGTGACTTAAATTCACACTGGGCACGTGTGAATCCCAAGAGGAGAATGGAGGAGCAGTGATTGCAGTGTGGCTATCTCCCCTGGGGTAGTGATTTCTTGCTTTCTGTCTCTCTGTCTCTCTCTGTCTTTCTGGCGAGTGCACGTGCCCTACAGCAAAAACCTCTCAGAAAAAAAAAAAAAAG